TTTTGGAACAATTTCAACCAGCTATGGAGAAAAAAACCCATATTTATCAAATAAGCTATATACTACTGATTGAGAAAAAGATACACCAAAAATTATCTGTGACATAATGTTTATTTTATTAAAATAAATTCTTATTTAAATATAGCGAAATAAAATTTTATTCCTAGCAAATAAATCATTAATTTTATTTTTTACAATTAACGAGATATCTTTCACAAAAATTTATTTTGTCATCATGTTCAAATTTTTTTATAACCAATAAATATCGAAGAAATTGGAAAATGTCACGTATAATTTATTTGCGAATATACATTTACCTGCGATTTGTTTCTTAGCGTACAAGGATTGTTACTTCATCATTAATCATGTATGTTTATTTTCTTTACCACAATAATTTTAAATTTATTTTATTCGAAACTAACATTATCTTATTTATTTTATTTGCATTTTCAGCGCTTTATTTATCCTTAGTCATTACATAATTATAAGAATTAATTCCGATTAGTATACATATACATAGGTCATCTCGCTTATCGGACTAACGTCACAATAAAACACTTTTTGTGAAATTTTTCTTGACACACGAGGATTGCATAAAGTGACATTATAAATGGTAAGATTACACAGATAGATCTTTCTGCACACGAAAACAATTATGTCGTATTAATAGCATTAACTAACAACATTAATTAAAAATAATCTAAATTTAATTACAGCAATAATGAAACAAATCATGCTTTTGTTTTAATAAAATGCCATTTGTTTAATAACAATTAAACAAATAAAATTGCTTAATAATAATTAAACAAGTAGCATTTAATTATAACTAAATATTTAATTATAATTAATAATACCGTTATCAACCCTTAATATATAAAATTGGGTTATTCCTATTCTTATCGTTTTTTTCTTGAAATATTATAAACATCTGATTAAACTGATTTACGTTCTTTTCCTAAAAAAAACTTTGGCATTTAGAAAACAAGTTTTGTGCCTTATCGGCTCCCATTCTCACGTATCCTGCGACGAGAATATTTTAAAAATTCACATAGGTCAAGATTTATCGTATATAGAGTGAACTTTTTTTACAGTTGAAAAATTTGTATTTTTTCTTTATTTTTAATTAATTTTGTTTATGTTGCAAGAATTTCACAAATTATTAAAAAAATGAAAACAAAACAATTTTTTTGCGCAAAATATTATAAATAATATTCAAAGAATGTAATAAATAAAAATAAAAAATATTCAAATAAAAATTCAAAAATGTTTTTTTCTAATTAGTTGTAACTTTTTTCTAACGCAATATCAATAATGAAATGCATTGTTTAAAATGATAATGTAATAAACGCTCAATTTATATCTATTTATGCACTGTAAAAAAAATGTTATTTTCAGGTTACTCAATAACTAAGCTTTTTAAACAATCGACACTTAAACTATTTCTTTTTTTTTGTAGTTTGGAATGTCAACTTTAAGATATTGAAACATATTTTTCCGTTAAATATTTCTGTTTCAGAGTTTTGCATTTTTGTAAAAAAAAGTTCAAAAATGTGAAATCTAACTCGAAAAAAGAATGAAAATTTGCCATTCATATTTAGGAGTGCAACTTTTCACTCTTTTTCAATAGTGGTAGTATTTTAACTATTTTGAAGTGAGATGTCATTCCAAGAAATATAGAATATAAAGTTATTTATCAAAGCGCATATGCATTTTCTACGTATATAAGCTCGATAAGCGTCTAATTCACGCGTAAGGCTACATTAACAGCCCCACGTGAACGTCGCGTTGCGATATGCCGCGTTTGTTTTCCCGTGGCAAGGCAAAGCGCGTGCAATCCAGTGCAATCGCCACAAAGAATTCTAAACTAAAGTCACTCACAGCACGGAGCAGAGCACGCGTGGATGCTCGCGTTAGGCCGGAATCAAACTACGCATCGAAGATTGAGATTGAAGATTGAAAAATTCAAATTTGACCAATCAAAACAATAGGAGCTAAAATTCCTTTGTCTTCTTTGGTCAAATTTTAATCTTCAATCTTCAATCTCAATCTTCAATGCGTAAGGTCGGACTCAAACTACGCATTGAAGATTGAGATTGAAGATTGATTACTTTTCAAACAAGCATGCGAAATACTTAGAATGATGTAGACTAATAGCCATTCTACAATGTGCTCGTTGTTTCCTGTTTCTTGCTGTTTGTTTCTATTTGTCTCTTGCCTTTTGGTCAAAAAAGGCAAGAGACAAACAGCAAGAAACAGGAAACAAAGAACACATTGTAGAATGGCTTTGCCGCTTCTAAAATAACATGCATATTTTTGGAGATTTGCGTATTTTTGGAAAAGATGCGTTTTTTTTTTTTTTAGGAGACGAATATGTAATTTCATTTGCAATTTACGATTACAGTTCACGGATCGTGAAGTGGAACACGTGTACAGTCCAAATTTAAACGAGATTTCGTGGCTTTTGTCAGCTTCTGCACACTGAACCACTACTTGCCAGCACGCGAATACTTTTCGAATCGCACGTGCGGCAATTATTCAAATTCGATAGACCACAAAGCGCCATCTCTGAGAGTCTCAAACGATTGGATTAAAGACTGCGGATGAAGTCTTCTATCTAGCAATGACTAGCATTCCGTTACGAACTGTTGGCGAGATCACTTGGAAAAGGTAAGTGTATTTTATTTAATTTTTTAAGTAAATTTTTTAATTTTAGTTAATTTAAATTTGTTTTTATTTGAAGGATTTTATGATGTATTCGAATATAGTTACACTTCGATAATTGAAAATAATCTTAATAAATATTATTATAAAGTTAAAAAACTATGAATAATCCCACTCAATTATGATATCATTATATTATACATATGACATTTTTTCCTATTTTCATTTATATTCGTAATAGTTAATTGGCTGGAAAAGACTTAGAGATCAAATCAAATTTTAATTGGAAAGTTTTAGGAACATGTAGAATTCAATTGGAATTAATATATGATGAAAAGTACGTAAAGAATATAATTAATAATATAATTTAAGAATATAATATTATCGGAAGTAAATATCAACGCTTGCAACTTCGTATTGATTTTAATTTAATTTAATTATTTGATGCAAATTTAAGGATCGATGAAGATAAATCTAAATAAGAGAATTCCTATATTCGGTTAAAGCGGATCTTATTGCTTAAATTTAAATATTATAGCTGAGATATCTCATACTCAGGAGACCAAAATAGTAATATCATTTATTAAATTGACAAACAATTTAATAATTTTTGATAAAAATAAACATCTTTTTAAGAATATTAATAATTAGAGATTAACGAAAATCTTAAATCTACAATTTTATTGCAAAAAATATTGCCTCAACCAGAGTTTGAACGTAAAACTGCCGACTTTCCAGAGCGAGCGTGATATCGATTTATCATAGTATATCGATTTGTTGTTAACAAAATCTTAATAAAAAAAATATTAAAAGTGGAATAGAGAATGCGTCATTGAAGCAATCAATCAGCGCTATTCCGAATCTCTATTCCGCAGTCTTTTTCCGCATCATGCGATTTCACCCTAAGACGTATCGTAAGAATCAGCCAATCACAGTTGAGAATTCTTTTGAACCCTTAATTCTAATTGGCTGATTCTTACGGTACGTCTTATGATTACTGTTACGGAAGATTTTTCTTTAAAATTGTGATTTCAGTGTATCGTCAAAGTTTGATTATTAACAGAGATGATAAATACAGAGAAAAAATTGTAATTTTTCGGCAATATATAAAATATTATAGCTTTACAAGTATACATATTTATTGAGTATTTTATGGAGCATTTTATGGAGCATTTATGTAATAAAAAAATCATGAATTTAATAATGTATTAGCCAAATATTTATGTTAATAATAGCAAATTTATATCAATTGTCGATAATGTCAATGTTCTTCAATTACCTCCTCTTATTATTAAGCGTTATTTGAAAAAGATTCAATGTAGTACGGCAAGAAAACAGATATAATAGATTCGACCGATATTTTATATTGTCAGTACTAAAAATTTATATATTTAAAATAAGCCTTATAAATATTTATAAATATCTTACAAATATTTTATAAATATTGTGTGTTGTCTGGGACATATATACATATATATTTTTTTTAAATTAAAAAATTTATATATTTATAGCATACACATTATGTGTACTATAAATTTTCAACATTGACAGTGAATACAGAAAACGTAGCCAAGAAACTTAAAAAATATATATATATGTCTCAGACAATACACAATATTTATAAAATATTTATAAGATATTTATAAATATTTATAAGGCTTATTTTAAATATTTTATAAATATTTTTGTGGTCTTTTAGATTGCATAGATCATAAACATTTATCATAAATATTATAAAATATTTATTGTAAATTCTGGCTGAGGTAATATTTTTTACAATAAGTTCTTTACCGAATTAATTTAGGGGGGGTTATTTTCATATAGGAATGTCCGAATGTATCAGTTCCTCATCATATTTATATTATTAACGTCTCGATTGTGGTTAATGTCTGAATGTTTCGGCGCACAGTCACATCTGAGATAATTAAAAATTATCGTATTGTTGAAAACTAGTGTACTTTAAAATTGGAATAAATTAGTTTTATAATTGTGATCTAAAATTTGTTCTGATATTGACCTATTATCATTGAATTCATTGCATTTGCAAAATAGAGCTTGACATTATTGATTATTTATTGTAAATCTTGTAGTAAATGCTATGGATATATAATACATTAATAAGACATTATATATAATTCAAATAAGAAATATACTTAACAGAAATATTTATTTATATTTATCATAAATATTACATAAAATATTTAATCTATCTTTTAATAATATTTCGAATAAAGTTTTATACAAGATATGTATAAAATATTTATATAACATTTAAAAAAATGAATAATAAATATTTATCATAAATATTCTGTGCTATCTAGGGTGTACCTTAATTATAAATCGCTACAAATACAAAAAGTATACAGAATAATCTTTCAATTAGTACCGCCCATTCCAAGAAAAGATAATAATGAATGTGTAATACGCGAGAATATGAACAGAGTTCCAAAGTGCGCCTGCTCTTTTTACTTCTCCTGACGAACATCGCGCGAGTAAACAAACCAAACGAAGTAATTATGACGTCCTTGACGAATCTGCCGCCAATCGCAAGGCTTTCCAGCAAAGTGATTCGAATCCTGGGATGCAATCCTGGTCCGATGACTTTACAGGGCACAAATACTTACCTCGTAGGCACTGGACGCAGGTGATAAACTCTATTTTTATGAAGTGTGTTTGAAAGAGATTATTGAATGTAATTTATTTTGACAACAGGGAAAGAATATCGAATTAAAACTGTCGTTTTCTTTAATAACGATATCGAAATTGCGATTTTTCAGACAATTTTATGTGAAGATCGAGAAAAATGTTTAACATAAAGACATTTTAGGTTAAAAAAATATGTCAATCGTGTTAACATCGAATAAACAAATTTGAAATTTATGTGGAACTTTGAAAAATGATGTTCCGATATGTAAGACGAGCAAGCATTGTGATCAAAATTGCTGCTGCCATGTTCAAAGATCAAAAAGGAATTTAAAATAAAAAACAAACGTGAATTTTTTCTTAGGTTAGGTTTCAGCCTCCGTTATATGCGCATGCGCCAATAAATAGCGCGCCACTTTCAAAATCTTAAGAATAAAATAACATTTTAAATATTAATATCTGACTCTCTCAGCATTAAAAATGTGAAAATTTTAAAATTCTCGGGCGAGTGAGAGTATGATTATGACATCATTGCGTAATGTAAACTTAAACTTTTATCATGAAAATTGGTTTTAATGTTTGCGCTCACCGAAAAACCAAGAAATTTTGTCAATACATATTTAGACGTGGTAATAGAATGTTGCTAAGCTATACGTAATGAAACAAAGACAATTGTATCTACATTGATGTTTGCAACGGGTGAGTCTTTTCACAAAATTAGATTTGATGATATAAATCACACATTAAAATTGTATTACACAATCAACAATCTTAAACCTGGTAATTTAAGACTACATACAGTTGCACACAACAATGGAAACAAAGGCTGCATGAAGCACATGATATTGGTTGTACATCATTGAAGATGGCTCGAATTGAGCTGAAACGTTCGAAAATATATGTAAGCAATTAAAGAAATGCACGAACTTACGAAAAAGATTACGTAATAATTACTGCGGAACTACTCTCACTTGCCAGATAATTTTAAAATTTTCACATAACATATTTTGTTTTATTCAATCACAAAAAAAGAACGAAAACATTTTTCTCGATTAAACTGTTCAACGAACTTTCTTGAGAACAAGGTTAATTGTTTTTCACAGTTTTTTAGACGCTCTCCGTTTATTCAATTGTTCGTTTGAAAAACTACGAGAATCGATTACCTACGTTCTTGTGCACTTTTTTTTATTGAACAATGTTAATGAAGTTGAGAAATATCTAGGGGCGGAATTCATTTCAAGACTATCTTAAGTAATGTCTAAAGACGCTAATACGGCCCTCTGATTGGTTCGTGACTTCTTAAAAACTACTTAAAACGGTTTTGAATGTAAGATCTGACTATGAATACCGGGAGGAGTTACAATATTTTCCAATTGTATTATTACTAATGATTATAATAAGCTACCTGAGATATTTTTTGAAAAATTAAGGGTGTAATAATAAAGATAGAGATAAACGATAAATAAATTATTAATGACATTAAAAAATAACAGGTATTACGTAAATTGCATTTTTGTAACGAATAATATCCTTATCTTATTAGAATATCTCTCTTTCCTAATATTTTTTAATCTTATTACAAAAATCGCACGAAAAAGCGATAAACGGGTACGTATTATATAATAAATTTATTATAATTTGTAATAATTTATTTGCAAATTGTTATAAATTTTAAATTATAATAATTTACAATAAATTATTATATAATGTATATAATGTATAATTTAAAATAATTTGAGATAATTTTAAAAACTGAATGCACTGTTCCTCGAATGAATGCAAATAATTTTTTTCGACGATTTGTTATTGCAGACGTGTGCTAGTTGATTCTGGAGAAGCAAAGACAGCCGGTGATTATATAAAACTCTTGGACAGTGTATTAAACGAAGAGAATGCGACTATTGAGCATTTGGTGGTCACACATTGGCATCACGATCACATTGGAGGAGTGGAGCCCGTGCGAAACTTGCTAAGGAGATTGTTTCCCACGGAAAAGCAGCCAATTGTGTGGAAATTGCCACGATCGCCGAATGATACGAACAGCTCGGATGATGAGAAATCAATTCAATGGAAACCTCTGAAGAATGATCAAGTTGTGGAGGTCGAAGGAGCGAAGCTTCAAATAAAATACACGCCAGGGCACACCAGCGATCATGCATGTCTGTTGCTGCAGGACGAGAATATTTTGTTCAGCGGCGATTGCATCCTCGGGGAAAGTACGACAGTCTTCGAAGATCTTCACGATTACATGTTGTCGCTAAATAAAATTCTAGAGTTGCGGCCCAAGATAATTTATCCAGGTCACGGGCCAGTTCTTAACGATCCTCTGCCACATATACAGTATTACATTAAGCACAGACAGCAGAGGGAGGAGAATATTTTACAGATGCTGCAACAACAGGGAAATGATAAATCGATGACGGAGATGGACATTGTTAAGCTGATATACAAGGTAAATGATGCAATAAATTAATTACTTATATGTACGTAGTTTTTCTAAAGGAATTAATTAAAATTAAAAATATTTTGCACAGGATACCCCAGAGAAATTGTGGCTAGCTGCAGCATTTACTGTGGGACATCATCTTCGCAAGCTAGAGAAAGAGGGGAAAGTGTTGCAAGAAGAAGAAGGTGGCTGGCGGAGAATTAGAGGTAAAATGTAGATAGGTGTACCATGTGAAAAACGTCCACATTAAATATACAAATTAGATTAAAATTAGATAAAATTAAATATTTAAGGAGTAGAAATAAAATTTTGTTCGAAAACTTATAAAATATTAATTCTGGAAAAAAACCTTAAATGTATTTTATGTATATAAATATATAAATATAATTTAAATATATTATATTAATAAAATTTTAATGTAAATTTAATTACGATTATATAATATATGTATATGTATATATAAATCTAAATTAAGTTTTTATTGAAATTATAAGAACCTCTCAATCAAGACAAAGAAATTTTATGGAATGCGCGAGAATACCGTTGTGAAACATTTATTCAACTTACAGGAGTAAATAATGATACATTGTTACGAATTTCTGTCGAAGTTAGGCTGGTATTTGTTATCAATGACGTGCGTATAACAAGAAGAGCACACGTTTACGACAATTTCACGAGATACATACCGCAAGTGATACACAGTTTTCTTCCCAGTTGAGGCGAATCATTAATCATCGCGTGCAGCTACGGACACATTACAACGGTCAATATAAAATATATATATGTATATATATATATATATACTATATATATGTGTGTATACTTGGTTAGAAAGATATGTTGCTGTCGCGACAATAAATGTTTCGTTACATTTTTTTCATTATAAAATCTCTCTTTCTCTCTATCTCTCTTTCTTCTATTAGCTACATAATCTTGGCGAATATTAGCACCCCTCGTCTTGAACATGTGGGGAAGTACCCCAAAAAATTCGATGTCGCAATATACGTACACGAGATATCGCTAAAGTGCGAAACGTTGAAATATGAAAGCTCAGGAAGTCAATGATTTTTTAACATCTAGGAATACGGGAGATCAACAATAAGTAATCAGAAATTCAGTACAATACATAAAATTCAATAATAATATAGTATTCCTAGGATTTTTTGGAGGATCTATAATCCTGAGGGATAAAAATTAAAGTTACAAATTAAAAATATTAAGATCAGGAACATTAAAAATAAAAGATGTTCTATAATGCTTTGTTTATGCTTCGATCTTAACCCTAAAATCTTAAAATTCAGCCAATGGAATACAGATTTCAGTTAGGACCAATTAAGACTGGCAGCCTTATTGACTGAATTTTAGGATTTTAGGGTTAAGACCGAAGCATAAACCAAGCAAAAGACTTTGAAAATTCAACAATTCGAGGACTTAAGAAATCTATTTTATAGATTTGATGATCATCGTTGATCTTAAATCCGGAAAATTAAGAATCCAGACACGATCATGTAATTTTCCTTTAGAGACCCAAAAAAGTTTCATGTGAACTCGACTCTTACTGTATAATTATGTAATTTTTTCTTTTAACATTTTAAGATTTTAATCGAGACTTATAGTTGTTCTGTGATTCGTGAAAAAGTTCATGTAGAATCAGAATAAGTGAAGAATTAAAAGTTACATGATTGGTGTCCTGACGATTTACATAGAGAATCTAAAAATATACAGAAAGAGAAGTATAATCGCTGTTATAAATTAAAGAGCTTAGCAACTTAGCGCACTTTAGTTACATCCAATATATATAATTATATGGACGTGTATGTCCTTAATAAGCTCACTTTGTAATATTTAGCCCACTCTCTACTCTCTCTTTGGATAAACGTAA